ATTGGCAGAGGGGGTGGGGTATGGAAGTCAGTGGAGTGATTGGCAGAGGGGGTGGGGTATGGAAGTCAGTGGAGGGATTGGTAGAGGGGGGGGGATAGAAGGCAGTGGAGGGATTGGTAGAGAGCGTGAGGTACGGAAGCCAGTGGAGTAGGGGATAGAAGCCTGGGTGAGATTGGTAGAGAGGGGTTGCAGATAGTGAATGGTTGGTTAGGTGGATGAGTCTAGCAGCAGCAGTCATGATAGAATGCAGTGGGGAGGAGCCTGGTAGAAGTAAGCCAATGAGGAGGGAGTTGCAATATTCGAGGGAGTGAATAAGTATCCTGGTGGTGTCACTGGTTAAGAAGCATGAATTCTGAATAGGTTACAGAGGTGAGGGTGGAAGGATTTGGACAGTGATTGGACGTGGGGCTGAGGTCAGAGTCCAGGATTACACTGAGCACCCAGTTCATATTGAATTATAGATGTACTGTGTAGATATATTGCTCATACACAACTATATATATTTAGATTTTCAACACCCTGTGCTTTTTTAAATCCTTACACATTTAAACTTATTTCATTTATGACGACTGTACTGTATATCTCAGTCTTGTGGGTCGATGTTAGGACCAGCGAAACGTGTTGGCATGTTGTAAGGATTTTTTTAGAAAATAAATTGACAAAAACTTTATCTGTAAATCATTGGCGCTCCTCAACTTCAATTCACTCCGTGATATAATAAGGACAGATATAGTGATTCCAACAAAGCTTACCCCAACGTTAGTAAATGGCATTGTAAGGTGTCTGTGTGTGCTCTGTGTGTGCTCTGTGTGTGCTCTGTGCGGCTCTGGTTGCATGTTTTCTGGCTGTATGTGCTGTTACTCCATGAGGTCTGACTGGAAGTCCTCTGCCTGCGTGTACTGTGAATGTTCATGCGAGGACTGTTCATCAGAGCTGCGCAAACATATGATAATAATGATGTGTGACTGTGGGGGGTTGGGGAGGGGGAGCATTAAGTGCAAGTGGAAGCTCCTCTGGTACAGTAACTGATATGAAAGTGGTGAGGCCATTAGAGTGTAAGCTCCTCTGGTACAGAACTGATATGAAAGTGGTGAGGCCATTAGAGTGTAAGCTCCTCTGGTGCAAAGACGGATGTATATTTGGTATATTTCACACAATTCTAGATTCGAGGTGCAGATTTTAGAGCTTTATGAAGATGTTTTATGCTGTTCTCTCTCTCTTGTCTTCGTATAGCTGTGATCGTCTAATAGGACTAGAATGTGGACGTCTTCTAGATCAGTGGTTCTCAACCTGTGTAACCTCAGGACCCACATTTGTACTTGGTCATTAAGTTGCGACCCAAGTCGCACTGCAATGGAACGCACAGGGTTGCGGTACCGCATGTTCCGATGCGGGCAATCAAACTGCGGGTAGGAGGTGTGTTTGAGATGTCATTTAAAAGATCCAACCAATCTCCATACTTAACGAGAGCTGGAGTTGATCCTCAGCTTGGGGTCCAGTGTGGACTGCTGTGCTGTGATCGAGCTCCATCCATATGGGCAATGCTTGTACAGCTCCCTTGCGTGTCCTGTAGAGGTGCCGGGAACCAGAATGTGACATCACTCCGGTCCAGGCACCTCTACAGGGTACGCAAGGGAGTTGTATGTATGGATGGAGCTCTCACGGCCATAGCCCCAGCCCATCCCACCTCAAGCAGACACTCGGCACCGAGCAGCATATTTTGAGTGGCTGCTTGGCAAGAGAATTGACGAGCCTCTCACCTAGCACAGTGGAAGGCACACCGCGACCCACTGAACATGGGGTCGCGACCCACTTTTGGGTCACGACCCACCAGTTGAGAACCAAGATTCCAGATACATGTTCTGCGCACTGTCCATATTTATGTGCGTTCCTGTCATCATATTCTCCAACCGTCTAGAATCCGGACATCAGGAGATGAGAAGACAGAACCTTCCCATTGACACAGACACCATCACTGCTCTGGATAATGGAACATTCATCATCGCTCCGTATTATGAGCCTAGACTTGGCCGGTCAGTTCGGGTCATCGCCATCATCCATGAATCTGTGACCGAGCTCTATTGTATCTTCCATTGTTCCACCAATCAGGACGTCTTCATCAGGGCTGAAATTGCATTTCACAAAGACAGATTTAGGTTCCCATATGGAGAAGCAGAACTTCTATGTGCAGAACCTTCTGGGTGTGATTACACTTATATCTCTTTCTCTTCCATGATTTTCACAAACACGAGTCAGAACTTCCTGTTTGAAGTCAGGAACCGTCCACCACAGCTGATCTCTAACAATTTCACTGTCTGCATGTCTACTTTGTATGGAAACTACAGCAATGTCCTCCAGGTGGTCCATCACATTGAGATGTACAAGATTCTGGGGGCCTCTAGAGTCACCATGTATAACACCAGCTGTTCCCAGGATGTAGATAAGGTGTTACGTCATTACATTGATGAAGGAACTCTGGAGGTTGTGTCATGGCCAATAGACCGCCATCTTCAGACATCAAAACACTGGAGATATACCCAAGGACTCACCACCGAGATTGGTTATTTTGGACAACTGACAACCTTAAATGATTGTTTATACAGAAATATGTACAACAGTAAGTTTGTTCTCTTCAATGACATTGATGAAATTATTCTTCCGGTCATAGACTGGGACTGGTCATCACTGATGGAGAGTCTCCAGAAACAGTTTCCGGACACAAGTGTCTTCCGCTTTGAAGCTCACGTCTTCCCCACCTTTGACAACAGCTCCAAATTTGATCTCTGGTCTCATGTGCCCGGGATCAATATTCTCCTCCACACCTTCCGAAAACCTCTTAACCCAAACATGCATAATCCTCGTAAGTTGATTGTGAACCCCAGGAATGTGTTTCAGACCTCTGTCCATTATGTGCCAAAATATACAGGAAAAGCTACATATGTACCAAACACTACAGCCATCAATTTCCACAGTAAAGGAAGTCGGGGGAAGGGCATCACCAGTGAGGACTTCATTCGGGATGACATAGTGCTGAAATACAATGTGTCCTTAGTGCCAAATGTAGATAGAGTGATTCAGAAACTCTTCCCTCTCCAATAGATCCCTCTCTATATATCCTGCACAACAAAACCTGGAACTTTATATATCCAAACAGAGTACTGAGCAAGCTGATTATTGGTGGAGAGAGGTCACTGACAAGAAACCTGCACTGCTTAGTTACATGCAATAAAATATGTTTATATGTATGGACATAGTGTATATGAGTGTATGGCCTGTCTTCGGAGTCCCTGCCTAGAACCACAGTACATTATATAATGTTTACAGATCCAGCACTGCTTCCTCCTCCACTGACCACTATCACTAGAACCTTACATACAGCTCACAGTAGTCCTGCTCTACCTCCTTCCTTCCAGGCATGCCCTTTTCCCCTTTTGTTCCCCAACCATGCTCAGCCTCACTCTACATATTCTCCCCATGGTCCATGACCAAATCACATGCAGCATCTATTATTCTTAGTCCACAATCAGATCTATGCCATCTCTGTATTTTCCTATCCATGGCCATCTCCTCTGTGCCTCCTCTCTCTCACCCAATCCATTGTCATCTCCTCTGTGCCTCCTCTCTCTCACCCAATCCATTGTCATCTCCTCTGTGCCTCCTCTCTCTCACCCAATCCATAGTCATCTCCTCTGTGCCTCCTCTCTCTCACTGAATCCATAGTCATCTCCTCTGTGCCTCCTCTCTCTCACCCAATCCATAGTCATCTCCTCTGTGCCTCCTCTCTCTCACCCAATCCATAGTCATCTCCTCTGTGCCTCCTCTCTCTCACCCAATCCATAGTCATCTCCTCTGTGCCTCCTCTCTCTCACCCAATCCATAGTCATCTCCTCTGTGCCTCCTCTCTCTCACCCAATCCATAGTCATCTCCTCTGTGCCTCCTCTCTCTCACCCAATCCATTGTCATCTCCTCTGTGCCTCCTCTCTCTCACCCAATCCATAGTCATCTCCTCTGTGCCTCCTCTCTCTCACCCAATCCATAGTCATCTCCTCTGTGCCTCCTCTCTCTCACCCAATCCATAGTCATCTCCTCTGTGCCTCCTCTCTCTCACCCAATCCATAGTCATCTCCTCTGTGCCTCCTCTCTCTCACCCAATCCATAGTCATCTCCTCTGTGCCTCCTCTCTCTCACCCAATCCATTGTCATCTCCTCTGTGCCTCCTCTCTCTCACCCAATCCATAGTTATCTCCTCTGTGCCTCCTCTCTCTCACCCAATCCATTGCCATCTCCTCTATGCCTCCTCTCTCTCATCCAGTCTATGGTCATCTCCTCTGTGTCCCCTCTCTCTCACCCAATCCATAGTCATCTCCTCTGTGCCTCCTCTCTCTCACCCAATCCATAGTCATCTCCTCTGTGCCTCCTCTCTCTCACCCAATCCATTCCATTGTAATCTCCTCTGTGTCTCCACTCTCTTGCCTGATCCATGGCCATCTCCTCTGTGTCCCCTCTCTCTCACCCAATCCATTGTCATCTCCTCTGTGTCTCCCTACTCTGGCACAATCTATGGTCTCTCAGCAGCCAGCAGTTCCCAGCAATTAATAGCCACCTGATACTGGCGGCTGGGAAGCTCTCAGTGCACACACCTTAATCTCCACTTTCTGCTTCAGGAAACCTGCAGTCCTGATTCTGATCCCTCTACTTGCGTCCTGTGGCCCTCTGGACCCAGCTGCTATACCAGTTTCTCTTGTATATAGTTAGGTATTTGTACTCTGCACTTGTGTTTGTTGGTGTGCCGTATATACATTGCTTTTCACCTTCGTTGTGTAAACAAGTGCGTATGGTGCTGGCTGTAACCAAGTTCTACCAGAATGTTGGAAGAACCCACATACACAGTCTGAGAATATGCTGAATGAATGTCAAATATGTTTGAGGTCAGAATCACTCGGGATTCTTCCTATGGCTAGGCAGTGGCTCGGGGCCCATCCAACCTCATGTCACCTAGCCCGGGTCTGAACCTTGGTGGGGAGACCTGTGTTTGACATCTGAGGATGAAGCTGTGGCCATCATGAAAGGGTCCAACTCCATCCACTGGTAATGATACAACACAATCCTGTTTTAGGAACTTTGGGACCCAAATACGGTCAGAAATATAGTAGGGGAATCCAAAAGGTGAGTGAAGACCTCCATGGATGAAGGGTACTGGGCTGGGTATGGAAGATCCCACCTCTCTTATCCCATAGATGAATGAAATAACACTTTCAGGTTAAATGACCCTTTGAAGAAGCCCCCCTCACATACAATAATACACCCCCCTGTTCCAAGCCTCCCCCCACACATACAATAATACACCCCCCTGTTCCAAGCCTCCC